CATCTTAATCAACACTTTTTGATGTGCAAAGGCAAATTGCAGCTGTGATAACATCAAAAGCAATTTTCTTATGTGCAAACAATGTATAATCTAAGAGTTTTGGCTTACAATTAATGAACATCAATACACTTCTTTGAAAATGAAAAAATTTGAATTCATTGTAGACAATCTTCAAGAAACTCTTTGAGCTTAGTTGGCATGAAGTCAAATGGAGAAGTTTCTATAGCAAAATAGCACTAGATGATGTAAAATTCATGACATTGGTATAGAAAAATAAAACAAAAGAGGTCAAAAAGTAGAATGACTGCTCACGACAATGATCTTTGTCAAGTTAACTTGAACTTTAGAAAGTTGGTAAGAGTTCCTTCATTCTCAGAGTGTGTAAACTCTAAACCTAAGGCTTTTATTCTTCGTGTGTGAAAAGAAAAATCATTGATACAGAAAGCATAAAATACAACCCCAAAAGTTTGACGGACAAGATGACAACTATAAAATATGGGGAGCTTGATATTATATAGTCAAATACGATGAACAAAATGACCATATATTCTTAAAAAACAAGTCAAGAACAAACTGAAGGTTACAAATATATGCAAAATTTTGGACCTTGAAATTTTCATCTACAACAATGACTACTAGAAGATTTTTATGTCTATAGAGTTAGATAATTTAATAATTGTAACTTTCAAGAATGTATATGACTTGATTGCATGTTAAAATTCAAGAATGTGTTAGTACCTTAAAATGATTACATAATATAAAAAACACACATCATGATATATGAGACCATATCCAAATAGACACACATGGATCAAATTGTTTGATACTTAAATTATATTGTAATTTTATTCATTTTTGAAATCATTTTCATGGAAACACATTTTTTTTGGTTGATTTGGGGAGTGAAGTATCATAAACTCAAAGCATGAGCAATTATAAACAACAACAACAACAGGTTTATTTTCAGAATTAATTCTATTTTAAACATAAATGTATCATCACATTTACCAAAATCAAAATCTGTTTTATGATTATCAAAGATGATAAATCTTATGATACATCAAGAAGTTGTATTTCTTGTTTAAATATCATTTAATTTAACATAAAAATTCTAACGTATTTATTTACTTCATGAATTAAAGTTTTTTTAAAATAAATAGTATATAAGAAAACCTTAAATAATTTTTCAACAGATAAAAAAGAATTATTCATTATTAAAATTAATCATTATTCCATCAAAAAATGTTATAAAAATGATCACTTTATATATTACAACAGCATATGAAGAAATATTACCTACTGCAATTTATATCTTCAGGTTACTATTAGTAAGTATACAGCAAGTATCTATTGGTAGGTATTACTTTATTTATTTTCTTGAGATATACACATAAATAGATGTACTTTGATTTATTAGTTGATATCTAAAAATTTAAGATCTACAAGCATAATAATTTCAAAGCTATAAGCTGACCTAAGCATAAAAAACTAGATGTGATTTTGAATGTATGCTAGTATAATTTTTTCTACATTCAAGGAATTATTAGCAATTTTTGTCGTATCTGAAACACATTTTTGAACATAATTGGATTTTTCTATTTTTTTCTTATCAGCAAGATAAGATTTACGATACTTATTTATGTTGATTTAAAAAAGTTTATGGGTATTTGATAATGAAAATTTCCAAAATAAGTTGTTCAAATCCCTGATTTTATAAATATGATTTTGCATCTTGATCTTCTCGACCTTGAAAGATTCATTATATCATTCATACGTCTTTTTGTTCATGCCACTTGTGGTAATCCAGTGATTAGTGCTTTAGATCAGTAAACATTTGACTTGTTCGCAGTTCGCAAGCTGCGCATATTCAGCTCACTCTTCCACCCTTAATTTCTAACTTTCACGTTTTGATCTCATTCTCAACTATGTATGCATCTATGTTCTTCTCATTACTTGCTTGTCGGTGCCAAAAAATTTCTAAATAGATCTTTGAAGAATACAGGAATATCTCATTACCAGCCCCTGTGACCTAAATTCCATCGAGTGCTTGGGCTCATGTAAACAGAGATTTCAAGGCTCTAGCTTGATGGTTAATAAATTTGATATTTACTATCTCTTACCAAATATGTTGGTGGACTACTTTCACACCTTTAGCAGAGCTTAAATTGACTCCCATCCTTGCAAGAAGAGTGCAGGATCGAGTGTACGTCATCCGAGCTTCTTCACCCCGATTCAAAGTTGTAGAAGGGGAATCGGGGCAAGGGACGACGTCAGCACGAAACCTAGACTCGAATGTAGTCTAGATTTCTCAAAAATTCTCCGTGTAGAGGTTAAACCGAAACGATCTTGGTATAACAGATTTGTTTTACTAATGTTCAGTTCCGTAACGTTTTTCAACCAAAGCACAGAATCTTAATGTGATAGTTGGTTAGCTACTCATATCACTATTGAGAAAGAAATATTCGTTGCCTTCACCCCTTGCAGGAGTATTGTTGCGTTGATAATTAAGAGTTGTGATGCTTTTGAGACAGGGTATCGTTAGTACATGAAAAGCTGGAGAAAGTGAACTACACTTGTTTGTTAGTTGGTTAGCTGCTACTCATAACTCCATAAAGCATGAAACACTTTTGTCTTCCGGTCCTGGCAGGAGGGTTAAGTCACTGGCTGTAAAGTGGTGCTTTTAAATCAACGTATCGTCGGCATAAAGTAATGAGGAAATGAATTTCGCGCTGCTTCAGAATCAAATACCAGATTAATAGTATGCAGTAGTGGGGATCATGACTTTCCGGTGCTAATTATTTTGGGGAGCATGGATAGCCATGCTGTACGTTAAAAAGAGTTCTCTCAGATGAGATTACAAATCATTGCTGCTTTTGTGGCATAAATATTCTAAAGCTCTTGTTGTTATTTCAATCGCTTTGCAATCTGGCCAATTCTGTTCATGATCCAGCTCAGAAGTACAGAAGTACTGTACTCATTAAATTCTTAAACAACTGCAACTAAAGAAAGATGTAAAGCAGGGTGTGGGAAGTGAGAAAAGAATGATCATACTGAACCTTGATTGGGATATAAGCCGAACGGATAGCAGTTTCCAGATAATGTTTCAAATGCAATTGTGCAACAGAGATGATATGTACCTTGTCAGGTGTACTTACAAGTATCAAGACTGCTAAAGTAGATGGATATAAAAGCGAAAATCGTAAATGTAGCTGTTTGTGGGACCATCTCTCTTACGCAAAGCATTATCGTTTTTGGGTTGAAAGAAGACGTAATAATAATGATAAGGGTTATAATTATGAGAAGAAAGTTTCGTTTGAACATGCAGTAGAGTAGAACGACTCAAACTGTATAGACTTTACAACTTCTTCGATTATCTACATATGGATCATTCCAGCCCCTTGAAAAAGATAAAGTATGAAAATTAGCAACATACATCTCGTCAGCAGAGGTGTAGCCATAACGAAGAGGGAAGGGAGGTGTGAGAGAGAGAGAGAGAGAGAGAGAGAGAAAGAGAGTCGAGAACTGTAGTGGGCATATACAAAAGGCGTCTTGTCATTTGAAAAGCAGACCTGCCTTTCAATTTACAGTATCCATCTAGGATGAAACTGAAAAGATGCCAAAGCAGTTGTGCTGGATGTAAAATAAACCTTCCGACTCAAAACAAAGTTCATGCAGCATGTACCCCCACAACAGAGCGGTATGAAACGAACAGTAAGTTGTCTTTGGCCAGTGGGACCGATAAGTGAATGCCACTGTTTCCCACTGATATCCCAAGGAGCTAAGGAATCGCCAATTTAATGTCCAAAATCAAAATGTGACAATGGCCCTGTGCCGAAAGAAAGATTTGTACCATTCGTCTCCTCAAGTTAAGCATGTGTGACAATCATCAACCGTGATTGATGGGACTGATAAGGAACCTTGACTTATTGTGGTAGTGCTCGTTGATCGATGTTCGAAAAGGACGATGCAGAGTAGAATTATCTGGAAGCGAAGCACATCACTGGTCTGGTATGGGCGAGTCGTGAGAAGATAAAACTCTTTTCAACCGGATGAAGACAACACGCTATTCGTTGAGGGGATGATCGCAGTGGGAAGGAGTTTTTTTAGAGGAAGTCGATAACCATACTAAGTAAGATAGATGTATGAAATGCGAATGAAGTAAGAATATAAAGCAAAAGGATGGGGAAGAGCCCCATCGAGCCGTACATGGACGAAACCAAAGGAGAAAGATGGGGCGAGGCCCCAGTATGGAAGTAGAATATGGCTTTGGATAACCTTTTGGACGTGAGTATGTTAAGCGAGCACATGTGTGCCCACGAACTATGGCGGAGTTCGAAAGCGAAGATTGTCTTTGCTGCTGTTTTGGATGTGGGTCCTGCAGTGGTCAGACTGCCAGAACTCTTTACAGACATAGATCTCAAATTCTGCTACAATGAGGGCGAAGGGTTTATTCCATGGGCAGGCAGAATGACAGCCGAGTCGTTACTAATTGTAGGCAGGCTTGCATGGTGATTCGTACCAACATGGTTACAGCATTGTTTGCTAGTACACGGGAGAGCAAGAGCAAAATGGTGACACAAGCCACTATGCCATCGAACATCACCTAAGGTCGTATCTGCAAAAATCAGCGTCATTTGAAGTCAGTCACACACATGTGACACGGAAAAGTTTGAGGATGTTGTCTGATTGCTCCTTTGGGGCAGGTGTAAAGTGTAAAGAGTTGCATATCAAGAGCGAAGCAGGGTAGTGTAGACTATGAACCGCCGATGCAAGAAAAGAAGGTTGCAGATCAGCGCAGAGGACCGAGGGATGGATGGATAACTGGATGGTAGGATGGCTTTAGTACGAACTGGACGGTTCGACGACGGTAGCTGGACACGGTGACGAAGATTCGGCTGCAGCAGCCGGGCTCGCACAGTACAGCTGCACTCGATCTTGTGTTTTCCCAGGTTCAAGATTATGCAAAAGTCCTCTTCTTCTCGTGTCATCGAGAATATGCAGTGCAGATTGCGGGACCACCTGTCGACTTCACTGATTGAGTCAGCCAGTGAGGGAGGGCGGAAGAGAGTGGGGGAGCACGCTAGCCGAGGCCCCAGGATGGCTTACTCTTTCCTTTAGTGCTTATCCAGGAAGAGTCCTGCGACTGGATTCTATAACTTATCTAACTAGTTGCCCATATGTCATGTATCGTCTTGCTGAGGGAAGACAAACAATTCCGTATACGTATTTCCAGCCTGCCGTCTCGGATTTTCTTCTATCCAGGCTTGTTTTCTGTGCATCTGCATATCTTCATGGATCGATAAAGCGGATGAAGAGTAAAAGAGAAGATGAGGTGAGACGGGATGACAAACACAGCAGCACAGAAAGGGATCTGAGTGGCACTACACTGTTGTTGTAGGGATCGCAGAAGCAGGGGTATTTGCTTGCGTGCTTTGATGTGGTCTGGTCGGCCGCGCTTACTGTACGGGATCGAGGAAGGTTGAATGATTCGTCGAGTAAAAGGTGCCCCGCGGAACCATTGAGAAAGGTTTGACCAGGTGTGTGCGCCTTGCCAGCAGAGGGGAGGAAAGAAACACATGCGCAACTCACGAACTTACGACGTGGCGATTTCAGCTGTCTTTTAGAGTTCTCCCCCTTTAACCTTTCCGAAACGCCCAAAAGGATTTAGGTTGTTCTCATGCAAGGAGGTGGAGCAAAAGGAACTCCTTCCTTACACATCAACGCCGTTCCTGGGCCTTTTCCCAGGTCATGCACAAGCCTCAGACGATCTTCCTCGTCTGGATATGGTCGGACGACGATGCGGACCCGATCACCTCCTCCTCCTCGTCCGACGTTAGCATAGCCTGCTCCTTCTTGAATTTTCCCATCCGCCTCGGATCGCAATTTTGCATGCCACCCTGCTCCATATTGTCGGTGACTTTTGGCAAAGTCTGTGCGTCCGGCGAGACAACAATGCTTAAAGGTCAAATCGATGTGTTCACCACTTCAGTGACTGCGGCTCAAGCTCAGCACACATAAGATCTGCTCATATCAGCTTGTCATCAGCCGGCCACGTCGTCGTGGTCTTCGCAGTAGTAGGCTAGGAGGGTGTGGCATGACATACCTCAGAACAATATCCAGTTCTACCGCCGTAGACTCTTGTGGCCGCCTGAGAACGTCCGATCTGCTGTATACTCTCTCGGTGCATGCGACTTCAGTCTTCATCGTCATCCGCAGCTCCATTCAGAGGCTCTGATCTTGCTGCTTCTGCTGCTCCTCCTAGACCTCGGGTCCGAAAGCGCCACTTTTCCGAAATTAGCCAGGTCCGTTTAATTTTCTTCCGAATGAGTTCTTTCGCACGGATCTTCCAGTTGCTTGTAAGATCGTAGGGTCCACGAGCTTCGCCTCAGACACATTGCCGCCTTCGATTCGTGCGGAATTCTACGCGACGTTTATGCTCCACTAGATTCAAATCCGAGATTGACCTGCATTTGTGCAAGCCATCTTGAAATGGTCGATTGTTCCACTTTCTGACCTCGTGCAGTTACATGGCGGTCGTTGACAACAGAAGCGTAGAAATCGTACTAAAACTACTGGCTGTCGTTGCGTTGCTGGAGTGAGCGATTGCTGTCGAGTTTGGGCCTAGTTTGAGCCCTAGACGTGAGTAGTAATAATAATTTTCGAGGTGGACAACGTGGCAGGACCGAACATGTTCGTGCGCATGATTTGTGTACAATGTTGTGGTCGCCGACAGAAGCCGCTCGAAGCATTGTTGGCTGTCTGCCCACCAAATGTGATTACAATCCGTGAAGACAGCGTATGATAACTTGGACTAGCGACCTATACACGAAACACCACATTTGCGGGCTCACACGATCAGTTGCATCTGTGTCCCTGCGAATGACGAGACAGTACTTTCTACTGTCCTCGTAGATTGAGTGTTTACCTTGTGCTTGGGTAGTCACCTATCTTTCGGTGTGTTATACTTTAATTCCGTCAAATGTGCCAGCAGAAATATACAAAAAGCGATCCACTCCGGTCGGCTCAGATTTTGTATTTCGATTGACTTTCAGAAATACCAAGAAGTGTAGAGTTGCAGCAGTCTATGCAAATGTCGGTGCATCTAAGGTCGACTTCTCGGTGCTCAGACTCCTTGTGCCAATTGACCTGAGTATGGACAGAGAGGTGCACACTGCTCACAGCAGCACGCGTGTCTTCTATGGCGGCAAGACTTGTCGTCAGATCGCGCAAATCCAATTTCCATACTCACAAATCTGTGCTGGAAATTTCTTTCGGATTCATTAGTAGACTCTCTCACATATGAATGGGTGAGATGTGGGAATTCCCGCTTTACTCGTACGACCGACGCTCACAGACATATAACCCGAAGGCAGTAACGACGACACAGGCGGCGTCACCATACCATCAGTAAACGGGGCGGCATATATGCGGCCAAATACGCAATATTACGGGTAGATTCCTCATCAAGAGCTCTCGTTTGAATTCACTGGGCAATTTCGGCACGCTTCCACTCGTAATGAGCAGCATCTTTACGTCGTCAGGAAATGATCATCCGCGTACACATTTCTTTACAACCTTGATTGATCAGCGGAATAGAAAACTTAATCGTAAAGCATCTTGAGGTTTGACGAGTTTAAGCGATGCAACACCACAATCCCGTGTGAGTTGAGTGTCAGCCGAAGATTCTCCATCGATCTCTTGCGACTCTCGTGAACTCTACACGCACCAGCTGCTGCGCTATTATTGGAACCGGCGAGAAAAGAGAAGCCCTGTCCCTCACTCAATCGAGGCTGACTCCTACTCCCTCCCTCTCTCCATCTCTCTCTCTCTTCTATCGCTCGCTCGCTCGCTTGATTGTTCGCTGGCTGCTAGACTCAGAGACTCAGACTCTCACGCGCCCCCCGTCTACGTACCTCGAATCTCGAGAGGCCCACTTCCATCGCCGCATCAAGAACTCGAGTCCGTGACATGGTACAATGCCCACTTTCCACCGTCCCGCAAACACAGAATCTATAAGTCCAACTCGGCAAGAAACGTTCGACCATCGAAGTACGATCGGCTCCTCGGACTGGCCGCAACCGACGGGTTCCGTCCGCTGGGCCTCGCCCCTCGACGACCGAACTAGCCGCCGCGGTCCTCGACCTACAACCCGGCGACAGGCGAGCGAGTCTCGAGACGCGAATGTCCTTCGCCCTCGACCACTGCCGCACGCAGCCAGCCTCGACACCGGGCACCCGCACTTCACCCGCGCCCGTCCCCTCCCCTCCCCTCCCGCGACCGCTATGTCGCGCGAGAGAGCGTTTGTGGCCGCGAAGTCGCAGCGAAGCCACGGTGGCCCCGCGGCTTTAAGTCCACTGCCCCCTGCCCCCCTTGCCCTGCCCCGTCACCCCGTACCCCAGCAGAGAATCTAATCAGACTACCTAACCGTGTTATGTTGATCGGCGGGCGGCGATTAATCTCGCCTCGCATCCTCTGCTCTTCCGAAGTTACTGCGAAACACGAGGCTATCGCCGTAGGTTATCTGAACTATGGCAGTTCACGGCCTCGTTGTACCCGGTTGTACCTGTTGCCCGCTCTTTGGGGTTCTGTGTCTTTGTCCTTGACGTTTCCTTGTACGCCACGATGGAGTCGCGGGATCTGACCTCCAGCCCGATTTACCTCGGCTCTGCTGACCGCCCCCGCTGGTAAATGTCGGTCCTTCATTCCAACTACTTTGGAGATGGAATTGCCAAGTGCGTCACGTTTTGTTTTGTTTTGTGTTGTTTTCCTTTCCTTTCCTTTCCTTTCCCGGCTAAGTCGGTCTCGCGTTGAAGTCGACGACGCTGCTAAATACTCCGATGTTTTCCTTCGCTCTCTCGTCGTCTCTGCTATCCTCGTCATGTATTTTGACCCAGCCAAATGTAGCCAGGATTCCATGACCGCTTGCCACGTGGCTGCCTCGCCGATCCACACCTGGATCCAACAGTCCGAGGAAAGGCATGCGAGCCATGTCAGTTTTTAGTATATCTAGGAGAACCATGTGCCTTGCAGAAGAGTCCAAAGCCGAAATACAATTAATTACCAGGGGGACTCCGTAGTTTAGTACTGTAGTGTCTCCAAGAGAGATGAATTTCTGCTTCCGAAGGTGTCAGTGAGGGCACACAAATGGTTCTCACGACATCAGAAGAGAAACCTGCAAAATCCTATTCAGAAATTACATCTCGACCCCGGCTATTTCTGAAACTTCTATTTTTCCCGGACGACTCTGAGACATCGACTCAGTTATTTTTAGTGCAGTTCGATAGAACTGCACTGGAGTGATCGAGCAGGGCAAACCCCACTCTTGGGCCGGTCGATAATTACAACGATAACACGCACACTGGATGTCCCACTTGTAACGGTCGAAAGTGATGTGGTATTTCGAGGGGTCCCCCATACATGTCATGTAGCCAAATGACTACATGCCAAGAGTATTGAATCAAACAAACGTGGACTAGGTATGGCAGATCGCCGTTAGTGGTAAGTTTTCTCAAGATTTATGGGCAAAGTGTGCATTGCATTTTATACCGCACCGTCGGCGATGGACGAGGAGCCAGGAGCACTTTTGGAAGGGAAGGGTACCCTAAGGTACATACGGACTGCAAAGGAGATAAAGGTACTACTTTTGTCTCAATAATAGTGTTGAAAAGGAAATTTGGCTTATGGCATTTTAGCATAAATAAGCCAACTTTCATTTTCAAAACTTATGGTCTTGTATGTGCTCAATAAACCATCTCAATTTAAAATAGACCCTTACTGACACTAACGAAATTGAAAATACATTATAGCTAGAGTCATCACTACATTTGGGTTTGGTGGCGGCGTACCACAACTTGGGTTCATTTTGTATCGTGGTAGATTGCACCATCAGAGATTCTAGTGTCGATAGAAACCACAATAGAGTTGTGAATAGTTTATATACAAACCCAAGGGAGCGTGACCATCAATGAGTTTATTGTCGCACCAGATGTCAACTGCCTACCATAAAGGATATGTATCCATAACTTTTCGGTTATAGGAGAGACTGCAGATAATTTCTTCGTGCCAAGAAGTATGAGTAAGAGAAATGTATTATCCCGGAGATAGAAAGATTGCTATGATTAAAGTGACATCAAATTGATCGTCAAATCACGTAAAGTGCTCTCAATTGTTCATATATATAATTATATAATTATATATATATATATATATATATATATATATATATATATATATTCATTTTTGATAGTCCAATTTGTAGAAGAAATCAACATCTTGTGCGATCATAATGTATGTAATAGATTTTTTATATGTGAAAAAGGTGTATACCGTAGTTTGTATCTTTTCAATTATAGCGCACATATCATGTCTGAAATATATAAATTTGATGAATGACTCAAACAGTCTTCAGACTCCAAAAATAAGTAGCAGATGAAAAAAATTGATCTATATGAAACAATGAAATGGAGATGAGGAGAGACGGTCATTTCAATTGCAATATTTTAAAGAATGATCGTTCTTCTCATTCAAAAACTATTCATTAAAACTATAATCCAAGGAAATTTAATACATCAGAAGTAACATATATTTCCTCGATGACAAAAAAGCCCTCCCACGAATTATCCTTATCTTACTCTCATGAAAATCTAGTAGCTAATCTCGAGAATATTCCTTATCACAAATTGGTGTGTTCTTTTACATGTTACTTATATATGTGTTATTCATAAGGCATTGTTTATCTAGTTGAGAACGAGAAGGTTACTATGAGACTCCTGATAATGAATTATGGTATTTCGACCAGTTGAGTCTTGGGGTTCTTCAATCTCCGTGGCATCTTAGCAAGCACTTTATAGATATACGCTTATTACTGGATTAGGTTTTTGCAAGTCGAGCATCATGAACTTACAGTTCAAATGCTACAGGTGAACTGTATAGCAATCAAATGTATAGTATACCATTTTATGTTGTTGGTTCCCACGTTTAATACATTATAATAAAGAAAATTTAAGGTAAGACTTTCTCTACACTTGCATGATTCAATACTGAAAAGATAGACCTAGGATTCTATAACAACACATTGATACATGTTCCATACATCTTTAAAATACATCTTTGAAGATACATTTTTAAGCTAAATTTTCTGTAGAAAGTATAACATGATTGTTTTACATCGCTTATTGACTTTCTCTATAGAATATTAAAAAGATGAAAAATCTAAAAAGCTGTTAAGTGATGATTATATTTTCACTCCTTGACAAAAATCAACATTTGTCCCCAGTTTAAGGAATCTCATTGTCAAAAACAGTTAAGAGCATCTGACATAACAACATGTATTGGTTGATTTTATGGTTGTATATCTTGGAGCAATATTTAAGTAATAATTACAGTTACAATGTTGGCTGATGGAGACAAAAAAACAATCCGCATACATCCAGCATGTTGTTTGACATTGGTTCTTCAATCTCCAGCATGTTGTGTCTTGCCATGAGTACTTGAAACAAGCAGATGCCTAAAGGATCAAAGGAAGTTAAAGTTTTGAGATACTTGTCTTGAAAACTGCAACAGAGATACGGGCCTCACAACATTGACTTTGTTCCCCAATAAATCCAAGAATTTTAAAGTCTGTTATCTCAAAACAAAAACACAAAAGCACATATGCTCACATTCATCGAAGACCTTGACCTGCTCCTGGTCTGTTCGAGTAGTTCGAAACAAGTCACAAAAGACCTTATTCAGTTTATTATGTGGGATCAAATAACGTCTTTCTTCGTCTCTATTCTAGCATCACATGACTGGGATAGACCCTCATCCAGAAAGCTGCAATGAAATGTCTGAGGTAGATCCCAAGACATGGATATCACCCATAATTTATGGCAGGTAATGCATAATGTGTATGATTCCAACAAGCGAAAAATCCAACCTGCCTATCAAAGTGCGGAGAAGAAGTTATACTAGTAGTAACTTGGGAAGCGTATACATAGAGACTTTGAAATTGTCTTCTCATTTACTGAATCCCTTGGCAGTCAAATGAACACTTCTCATCAGATAGATGTATATATATATGAAGTTTGGGTGGATTGCGATTGGAGAAAATGTGAGATTCCTGTCTTGGATGGTCG